AGAGATAAAACTATTATTCAAATACCCTGAACTCCTGAGCTCCTGTGTTGATTTTGTAATAAAGCAAAAATAATTTGAGAAGGACCTTTGCAAAAGCTCTTTAGGACTTCTGTTAGCTTTTTTTTTTCTTTTTTTTTTTTTTTTCTTTTTTCAGTGCTGAGGATGCAACCCAGGGCCTCACACATGCTAGGCAAGTGCTCTACCACTGAGCTACAGCCCCAGCCCTCCTGCTAGATATTCCTGTGCAGCTGTTGATGGAACATTTGGGGTAATATGTTATCACCTATCGTCTTAAAAAATCAAATTGGGGACATTCCTGTGTCCTTTTAAAGTGATGTGTGTCCCATTGATCCTTTTTCCGGTTAAGCCATTTTTGGGTTTGTTTATTGATTGATGGATGGATGGAGACAGGATCTCACTATGTAGTCCAGGCTGGCCTTGAACTCATGGGAATCCTCCTGCCTCAGCCTCCTGAGTGCAGGGATTACAGGCCTGTGCCATAGTGCCTGGCTGTTCAAGTTGTTATAGAGTGTGAATTATGTATAGTAAAATTCAGCCTTTGGGGTGTCGAGTTGTATGATTTATTTTTTCAAATTAGTTAATTAATTAATTAATTTTGGGGTACCGGGGATTGAACTCGGGACCTTGCACTTTTGAGGCAGGCAGTGGTGGAACCACTGAGCTAAATCTCCGGCCCTCAAATGTATTTTTAAAGGACACACAGAAACATAAAAATTGTACCTGCTGATGGTGTACCATATTAACATTTTGGTATGCAGGTACCTTGGGTGATGTTTAAATCAGGGTGGACCTATCTGTCTCGGTCCTCAGGCTGGGGCTGTAGCTCAAGGCGGAGTCCTTGCCTAACATGCATTTGCTTTCTGCTGGCTGTAAAACAGACACAGTAAGGAAAACCTTGGTCATGCCCCCAGGGTGGGAGCTTTCACAATCTCCGCTCCTAGCTTTGTGAAAGGTCTCTTCAGTGTCCTGTTGTCTGACTGTGTTCCTAGCCTGACTGTCCCACCCAGGCCCTCCCTCCATCCCTCATGACCCAGCTTTTCCCCCACAGATCCACCCTCTCCTCGCCCTTTCCTGGCCCTTTGGCCGCCTACCCTCCCCGCCCAGCTCCTCCCCTGAGCCCTGGGCTGGGCATCTCCGTCCTTTTCCCAGGGTGTCCTGTGAGTGGAATCCTATAGCACACAGGATGCGGCTGAAACATCTTGTAGTCAGCTTTGTTTGCAAATAAATGTTGGATAAATTTTCTTCTCGTTGTCTGGGCTGGAAGCTTATGGGCTTGGGAAGTTTGGGGGTTTTTTTGTTTGTTTTGTTTTGTTTTTAAAGCTATGGCTTTCTTGATTCTTCTTATGAATGAAAAAGCTGCCCTGGGTAATTGTCTGCCTCGGGGTTGCCTTCTCCCCTGAGCTGCAGCCTTGTGATAGATCAGTGGCCCGGACAGGCCACACTGTGGAGGTGCCGAACCACGACGTTTTGCCTGACCGTTATTTCCTAAACGATGCGGGGCAATAGCTATTTACTTAATAGCATTACTTACAGCGCTAAGTGTTATAAGTCATCTGGAGATGATTTAACCGGCAGTAACTTTTATCAAGGCTAAAAATGTGTCTGTGGGAAAGGCTGGCACTTTAACAGCTTCGCTTACTTCTTGTAGCAACCTTAAAAGATCACACCACGAGGGATCCTTATTGTCAACCCACTTTACAGGCAAAAAAAAAAAAAAAAAAAAAAAA